GAGATACCCCTGTTCAGCAGATGAGGTTAAAGATGTGTAGCCGATCGGTGAGACTTTGAATTTCTAAGTCTCTGAACCATTATTATCAAAGACTGTTTAATAACATGGAAAATAATTACGTTTATTTTCTGAACTCAGGAGGTAAGCTCCTGACATATAACAGCAAGCGACAAATTTTATTCATATAACAAAGCACTAACAATGTGTCTCATAGACAATACTTTTAGGAAATATTAAGTGTGACATAGCCAAACAAATTTCCATATTCTTTGCAGTCCTTTGATTTTCCTCATGTTCCATTCATGGAACTCAGCTTTATTTAATTGTTCAAGACTTCCAAAAATTGTAAGTAACAGCTAATATATAGTAGTGTGTTTTTCGCTACTTTTCAGGAGAGCGAAAATAAGATTTCTGGTTCTTTCTTTTGCGTGCCATTCTCCAGCTATTAACCTGCAGGGGTCATTTTTACTTTCTCGCTCCCCTAGGGTAGAGGAAGTATTGTCATCCTCCAAGGAAAAAAAAAAGTTGAAATTTCATCATTTCTAGACGTTTTAAGGTCCCTGGAGTTAAAATAACCATACTTAAAAAAATGTGCGTCTGTCCGTCCAGCATCCCCCAAGTCTGTCCACAGGGATATCTCAGAATCTATATGTTCAATTTCATTCAAAATTTGCAGAGAAGACCATATCTATGGTCTCCTTATGCACGTCAAACGATTTTGGGGTACGCTAAAATTTGGGGGGAGGGGGCTAGGGGCCAAGGTCTATTCTTAGCAAAATCACACGGAAAGCTCACTTTGACAGACTGTAAATTTTGGAAAATGCCGTTAATTCTTTAAAAGTGGACATCAAGCACACCGCCTGAGCCATTAATTTAAGTTCCTAATAGATCATTGGACTAAACTCAAAATTGAAGGGATACGGTTCATATGGCGGGGGCTTTTTGTTCCGCGAAATTACACGAAGAGCTCACTTTGACAGACTGTAGATTTTGTAAAAATGCCTTTAATTCTTTGAAAGTTGGCTCAAAGCACCACCTGGGTCATTTATTTAAATTCCCAAAAGATCTTTGGACTAATCTCATAATTGCAGAGGGGCCGATAGCAAACGGTCAATTCTCTGATAAATGAGTTGTAACTCTCATGGGTATTAGCAGCAAACGCTTTGAGTCAGGTGAAACCTAGTATTGCAAATGCATCATATGATGCATCATATACGAGGGTCATCCAAGAAGGAAGGTTCCTTACCTTGTATCTTCCGAACGAAAAGAAATAAATCAGTTAGGTAAAAAGAAACATATTAGTCATACTCAAAGCTTTAAAGAAGCCCAAGTTTTTGAAAATCGGTCGAGGGGTACGCGAGAAAACTTAATTTTGCTGAGACAACCTCCTGTCGCCGCGTGCCCACCACCGGGGTCAGGATGCGCGGAGAGTCGATTATCTCAGACACGGGTATTCGCCTCTAAACATCACATCAAAAAGGAAATTAAAAGTTTTCATTGAATAGGTCTTAAGTTACTTTATGACGAAGTCTCCACATCTTTTTTGACATTTCTGGTATCATTACAGCAGCTTCTTGATGCCGTCCGCGTAAAAGCTCTTGCCTTGGCTCCGAAGCCAGTCATTGACAGCGATCTTCACTTCCTAATCAGTTGCTTTGCGTCGGGAAATGTTCCCTTAATCCTCCATACTCTCTTAATTTAGCCTTTTGTGACTTCCATCTGTTCCCGAGCGGAAAAACTTCCATGATGGAAAGTGATTGCCAATGTATTCAGAGATAAAGATCGCTGTCAACGACTGGTCTCGGAGCCAAGGCGAGAGCTTTTACGCGGACGGCATCAAGAAGCTGCTGTAATGATACCAGAAATGTCAAAAAAGATGTGGAGACTACGTCATAAAGTAACATAAGACCTGTTCAATGAAAACTTTTCGATTCCTTTTTGTTGTGATGTTTAGAGGCGAATACCCAAGTCTGAGATAATCGGCTCCTCCGCGCATCCTGACCCCGGAGGTGGGCACGCGGCGACAGGAGGTTGCCTCAGTCAAATTAAGTTTTCTTGCGAACCCCTTGACCGATTTTCAAAAACTTGGGCATGTTTTAAAGCTCAGAGTTATGAGCCAATATGTTTCTTTTTACCTATTTGATTTATCTCTTTTCGTTCGGAAGATACAAGGTAGGGAACCTTACTTTTTGGATAACCCTTGCACTATCTCCAAAATTACTCTGTAGGTATGCACCAAGCAAAATTAGACAACTAATTAGGTATTTACATACTATGAATCATCGAAGCTAACACTAGAACTGACACTTAGATCTTTATTAGATGCTAATATGTTTGTTGTTAATGAACTTAGAATCCCGGCAGATTCCATCAAGCATATTTCCGCCGTTGCGCCGTTGCGCCGTTCCTCAACTCTCGGAATGAGGAGCCCTACACAAGGGGTAGCAACGTTCTACTGTTTATTCGAGTTACTCAGGTAGAATCCCACACCTAGACTTTTCTAGTGGAAACGAAATATGTCTCACGCTATTAACATTGGACATAAGTTCGTTCCATGAGCTTTAACAGCTCTAAAACCTTCAAAGTTTGGGGTTTCATACTTTCTTGCACATCTGCAGCTATTTCAAATGACATACATGTTAGAATCATCCTTATCGGTCCGGTAGTTCGTCTTAAATAGTACTTCCAAGATTTTGCTTCTAGCTGTATAATATAGATACTGGGTGCTGCAGAGCATTCGTCCACTATCTTTTTCTCGAAAACTGCCAGAAATTGAGCTCTAGAACGAAAAGTTTCAGTGGTAAATCAACCTCATAGAAATCAATGAACATATTTTCAGCCCCACGAAACCCCATTTTGCGGGGGTTTTAAGGGGATTGCCCCTGTTTCATGCATATTTCAAATAGGAAAGGTATGTTATGACGTCTGATTTAAATTCTATGGCCGAAAGTGAGAACTTTTTGTTTTTATACATTTCGTCCCCAAACTTCCATTTCCTGGAGTTACGGGGAATTTTGGGGCATTTTTTGGGCAAATTTCAAGTATACACTGTAGGCGTTGAAATTATCCGATTTTCGAAATTTTAAAGTCTTCTGGGAGAAGAGGGCAGTACCTTTTTCTTGGTGTGCCACATGACCCCTGTTGATCCAAAATTATGGGGGCATCGACCCCCCCAAAAATTTTGGGGCTTTGGAGGGCCGTTAGTCGAAAATTTCAAATGAAAAGGGCATGTTTTGACTTCAGATTTGGATTTTACGCGAAAAACTATCTAGAATTGATGTGGCGTATGGCCTACAGTCGAACCTCGATAACTCGAAGCTGAAGGGAGGCGATGAAAAATTCGAGTTATTGAGGTTTCGAGATTATCGAGGTTTCGAGTTAACGAGGTTTGGAGATGAAAAATTCGAGTTATCGAGGTTGGAGGTTCGAGGTTGGTGCTAGGTCAATTTAGAAAAAAAAACCGTTATTTGTTTTACGTTATCATAATAAGGGAATATTGGGGAATGAAAGTAGGAACTAATATTTAACCCCACGTCCGATCTGGGTAGGGCAATGGTTTATTATTGGAAAAAATATGTACACGAACATCAAGAATTAAATTTTAAAAAACTTTAAAAGCATCCTTCGAGTTATAGAGGTTTTTCTCCAATTCCTTCGAGTTACTGAGGTACATATTTGACACATGGTAGTTGCCTTCGAGTTATAGAGGTAAACCGCCGATTCCTTCGAGTTACTGAGGTACAAATGAGCCTCAAATGTCTTCGAGTTAACGGAACAAATTTTTCGAGTTATCGAGGATTTTGGCCTTCTGCGGAAGGGAACGGACATTTTCTTCGAGTTATTGAGGTTTTCGAGTTATCGAGGTTCGAGTTATCGAGGTTCGACTGTATTTGCTCCAAACTCGAAGATCCCAGAACTCGATCTCCCCGTAAGAAGCCGTTTATTTTTGGAGGAAAAAAGGGGCAAATAATAGACGTTACGCCCTATCAGCTCTACGTAACTTTTCGCGTAAAATCCTAATCTGAAGTCAAAACATACCCTTGCCATTTGAAATTTCCGACCCTCCAAAGCCTCAAAGGTTTCAGCAGGTCGTGGCTCCCATAATTTTGGATCAACAGGGTATATGAGAACTTATCTGGAACAATAGCGGATGTGAAAAATTACCTTTTCGAAATACATTCAAAAAACTGTCTTGACATCGAGAAAATTTTGAGAAAATACTTGAGATGTGATCTTCGAGATCTATACATTATGCCAGAGCCAAACATATTAAATTTTTGTGTGAACAAAACAGATTTTTAAGTGTGTTTCGAAAAGGTAATTTTTCACATCCGCTATTGTTACAGATAAGTCCTCATATGTGGCACGTCAATAAAAAGGCACTGACCTCCTCTCTCAAAAGACTTTTATATTGTGATAATCGGATAATTTTAACGCCTACAGTGTTTAATTGAAATTTGCCCGAAAAATTTCCCAAAATGTCCCGAATCTTAAAAAACTGGGGGTTCGGGGAGGAAATACATAAACAAAAAGTTCTACTTTTCAGCTCTAGGATTTAAATCCGGTGTCAAAACATACTCTTCCTATTTGAATTATGCGAGAAAAGTGGGCACCCCCCTTAAAATGAGGTTTTGTGGGGCTGACATTATTTTTTATTGAATTCTTTGGGGTTGATTAATCCCGGAAAGTTTTCGTCCCGAAGCTGAACCTCCGGCCGTTTCCAGGAAAAAGATAACGGACGGGTGCTCTGAAACACCCGGTTTAAAGCAAAATGACCCTTTTTGAAGACACATTCCATAATTCATTGCACCCATTGAAAATATTACTCCAACAAATATAAAAATCTACCAGGATGTGCACTCATTACTGTGACTGATTCTAATCCTTCCAAAAATATTTTATTCAATCATATGCATCCGTCAGACCCCCCCCCCTCCTCTAATTTTAGAGACAGGCTTCATCAAGTAATTTATATTAACAAACACTATATTTATTTCCAGTGAGCCTTTTGATGAAAATCCAGTCCTTGTGTCTTCATTGAATATTCTGTGTGGTATCAAAGCACCCTTGGATTTAATGCGTTTTGAAAGCAAATCAAAAGTATGTATGATCATATTTTATTTTTCATTTTATGTTGATCAGTGTTTTTTGACAGGACCGTATCGATGGCTAATTGTTGTTAGTTGATACCATATAAATGTCTAAGCACTATTTTGTACAGGCATGAAGGCGAAAAATTCCACTTTCCATTAAAGTGAAAACGTTGAAATGAAATGAGTGTCAGCGCAGGAACCAAAGAGAGGGAGGAGGAGAGTGTTTAGCTCAGATAGATTTATTGTAATACTAGGCTGGGGTCTTTTTTAGACGTTCGAAATTAGGAGCAAGTGTTGTTTTCGGAAATCGTAACCCTAAGTTAACACATCCACAGCATCAAATCAAATGTTTTTCCGAGGAAATGTTTCTTGTTCCAGAAGGTTTATTTTATCAACTATCACCACTAACCGTTGAAAGTTGTGAAGCTCATTTTAGAACTGAAACATAAGAGGTCCAACAGATTTTGCAATTCCTTATCACCCTACCGCCCCTTATGAATAAGCTTTAGCTGTGCAACTTGGCCTGTTTGATTGATTGTTATGTAACAAACGAACGAATGGTCTGGGTATTAAACAAATACTGATTCGTTCCGGTGGTAGGGGGGCTGAAATAACCTGGCCTTGCCTATGCTGATGATATTTTCTTTCAGTTTACTATTCTGTTTTTGTGAGAGTTTGAAGAATCAGTCAGCTTGACTATCATCACAATTTTACAATCAGAACCTAATGTTTGTTTCCTTTTCCTATTTCTTAATCCATAATTTATGCACATAGCGGCCCTTTTGTAAGGCGGGAAGATTCCCTGGTGTTCTCTCCTTTGCAGAGATATGACTCCTTTTGCTACCCACGAGTATTTCAATTTGGCCACTTCTAAGAGGCAGGCAATGACAGAGGCAGATTAATTGCTTCACCAACATCTTCCTCCTTCTCCCAGCTTCCATTAGTTTCAAATATCTTACTTCGAAAACAGATTTCAAGAATTCTTGTCAGTCGAATAAAAAAAAATTCGCTAAGGCTCGGGGGACTAACGTGGAGATGTGGTTTCTTCGATCGAAATTCACTACCATGCGGAGCCCAAATTATATCATAATGATTTTTGCTGAAGAATTTTGCATCTCAAACAAATGTTTCCATCATGACCTTAACCTAATCGCTGATTTAAGGCAAGTAATAACCAAGGATAAATCATTGATTATGTGGTTGTTAGACAAGACACAGGAATGAAGATTCAGCAAGTTAAAGTGTGGAGAGGTCTTTCCTGCGGCAGTGATCATTACTTCCTCGGGGCGAAAATAGCTTTCCCAGTGAAAGGGAGCCAGGAGACCAGGCAAGCACAGGAACAGGTTCACCAACAAAAAGATCGTGTCAAGCTTGTAAACTATAATATTGACAGCTTGCAGCATCCAAGTGTAAGGGCATTATATGGAAAGCGTTTGGATGAGAAGTTGGGCGAATCAAGGGACGGTGATACCGAACAGCAGTATCAGTTCCTGAAGGATTGCATTCACTCGGCAGCAATGGAGGCTCTTGGTGTTGCTGATGATAGAAAAGTTAGCGGAAAACCTTACTGGTGGGACAAAGAAATTCAGAAGGAGATTCAGGAGAAACGGAAAAAATATCATCAGTTCCTTTCCTCTAAAAAAACAGAAGACAAAGAGGCGTATAAAAAAGCTCAGACGCAGGTACAAAGGCTCATAACCAAGAAAAAGAACGAATCTTGGGAGAGGAGCTGTAACAAAATAGACACGTACATAGGAGGAAGGAAAAGCACTGAGAGCTGGAAGTTGCTGAAAGGACTGCAAAGGGACATGAAGCGGGACTTAATATCTCCAATATCCATTGATAAACTGGAGGGTTATTTTAAAAATTTACTGACAGAAAGGCGACCTGAATTTCAAGATGGAGGTGTAAGCTTGGAGTATACCAACGATAATAATAACTTGGAGATCCATATGGAGGATGTGGTAAAGGCCGTACGAGAGCTGAAGAACGATAAAGCTCTGGGTCTGGGAAATATTCCTGCTGAGTTGATCAAGTGTGGAACCTGCAAGCTGTTTCAACGGATGAGATACCTGATGCAAGATTGCTTGGACGGTGGAAAGGTACCGACAGAATGGAAAGAGTCTTGGGTGTCACCTATATACAAGAAGAAGGGTAGAAAAGATGAGTGTGATAACTATAGAGGACTGTCGGTTGCAGGTACCCTAAGCAAAGTGTATGGAAAAATCCTGAAAGCAAAAATCGGAGAGGAGTGGAAAAAACATGAAGCGGAAGAGCAAGCAGGTTTCAGAGCCGGTCGGTCAACGATTGATCACTTATTTACCATCATCCACGTCATCGAGAAGAAGAAGGGAGTAGGCCAAGAATTATATCTAGTGTTTGTGGATCTCCAGAAAGCTTACGATAGTGTGCCATTGATGAAACTTTGGGAAGCCTTGAACAAAAGGGGTTTTAGTGGGGGACTAATTAGTGCTATTAAGGAATTTTATGGTGGGGCTTTTTCTAGGGTTAAATCACATGGGGAGTTATCGTTGGGGTTTTTAATTACTAAAGGACTGAAACAAGGGTGTTGTTTGTCGCCAACCTTATTTTAAGTGTACCTGGAAGAAGTTTTAAAAGAATGGAAAAGATGCTGTTCGGGAATGGGCGTCCCGCTACGTGAAGATGGCACCCTTTATACTCTGTGCTTTGCTGATGATCAGGTGGTAATAGCTCAGGACGAAGAAGATGCGAATTACATGATGCGTAAGTTAGTGGAAGCATACCGAAAGTGGGGAATGGAAGTAAATGTGGTTAAGGCGGAGAAGTTGGTTATCGGTGGTGATCAGCGCAGCATTGAACTGGAAGATGGCCGGAAGATTCTGGACTGTGAAGAGTATAAATATCTAGGAGTTTTGTTAACTGAGGATGGAAATTTGGATCGTGCTATTAAAGTTCGGAATGTGCAAGGCAGGAAAGCTATCGCGATGCTAAATGGGGTTCTCTGGGACCAGAGTATCTCCAAGGAGACCAAAAGAAAAATTTACAACGTCATCGTGAGGAGTATCGTAACTTACGGGAGTGAGGTCTGGCAACTCAAGAAAAGAACTGAAGACTTGCTTAGGGCAACCGAGATGGACTTTTGGCGAAGGTCTGCTGGGATATCGAGAAGAGAGCGTATCCGCAATGAAAGGGTACGCGAGATAATGGGTGTGGAGAAGGACATCGTGCACGATATCAGGTCCAAACAGTTGGTCTGGTATGGACATGTGCGAAGGATGGCAGATGATCGGTTGCCCAAGCAGGTCTTCGATTGGGTTCCTCCCGGAAGGCGACGGCGTGGACGTCCTGTGAAAGGTTGGCGACAAGGGGTGGAGGAGGAGATCAGAAGGTGCCAATTGCCTGATGATCTCTGGGAGGATAGGGGGCAATGGCGATTGGGCGTCGCAGAGCGCGAGGCGGCGCTATAAAAGCGACTTTATGTATGTAATAACCAAGGATATGCTACGGCGCTGCCTAACTTTCAGTGAAAGATCGGGCTGTCAATCAATTACAGAATTCAAACTCATGTTGAAAGTGAAAAACAGGGCTGTCAATCAATTACGAAATTCAAACTCATGTTGACATTCTCTCAATATTGACAAATGAATTTAACTAAGTACAAAGTAAGTTTTTGGTCATAGTAATCCTATCATTTTCCACCTTTCCTCCGTTATTGCAAAACTTTACAGACTAAACATCGAAAACGGCTAGTCGAACTTCCTTCAAAGAGAATACGCTTTCATGTTGACTTGTACGAATTTCTGTCTCATTTTCCCTCCGTATATATCGACTATACCAATGAAAATTCATCCTGATAAACAAATTAAGTTTTATGGGAAGTGAGACAACCCTCTGTACATCGTGATTTATCGAAAATCTGTCTTAGAATCCGGGAAATTACGCAAGGTCGCGTCCACTTAGGTTGCATAAGGCGCGGCGCGGCGATGAATGGGGCCAAAACGCCTATCAACGAAAAGTGCTTACCACGGGGGTGCGGTTAAAATTGAGCTCATGGATTTATTTATCATCGCACAAAAATGGTTCTGGTATCACTTTAAACGTCATCTTTCTACAAATCATGAGAGGAGGTTTGTTTCTCTACCCGATTGAAAATTATTGGTCGTTGTAAATTTTGGAATTTTGAACAATTTCTGTTCTTTTGAAAAACACCCAGAAAATTCGGAGTAAAAACGCAAGTATATTAGTCACACTAGTTAACTTCCAACATAGCTTCTAAAGAAGAACAAAATAATGAAAATCGGACGAGAATGTGCAGAGATATAGCGCGCGTTTGACTTGTGGAGCATGTTAATTGCCCGTATTCCGCCGTTTTCACCGCGCACCGCGTATCGCGACGCGTCACTTACATTGCTCTAGCGGGTGCATTTTTGACCCCAAAAAATTGATTTGGTATTTTAAATGTGAAATACGAGGATCATCCAAAAAGTAAGTTCACCCCTTTCATATTTCCGAAACTAAAAGGGATAAATCAAATCGGTAAAGAAGAACTTCTTACTTATATCTTCAGCTCTCCATAGGTACCAAGATTTTTAAATTTGGACCACTGGTTGCCGGAGATATTCGATTTTTACGTGAACAACTCCCGGCCATTTCCGTCCACCAAACGACGCGCTGATATGAGATGCACCGCGCGCTGTCGCGTCGCTTTTGTCTTCTAGGACTCTCAAGGAGTACTTCTCGTCCATTATTTGGAGAGAGGGTGTACAATCAATGCACCACGGTATTGTGGAATATTGAATTCGTTGCGATTGGCAATAAAAAACAAGCGACCGGGTCTCTTGTCTCGTGGTCCCCTATTCCTTCACGATAATGCCAGACCTCACACGGCGAAAGAGACCCAAAATTTGTTGGACAAATTTGCATGGGAGGATGGGAGGTGTCACCTCATCCTCCATACTCTCCAAACCTTGCCCCGAGTGACTATCATCTTTTTCCGCAACTCAAGAAGCACATAGGTGGCCAGCACTTCGAGAACGATCAGCAGGTAATGGAAGCAGTCAATGGCTAGTTCAAGAGACCACCAAAAGTGTTCTTTGAGAACGGCATTAATAAGCTTCAGAAACGCTATGAAAAATGCATCAATAGGAACGGAAATTACGTCGAAAAATAAGGTAAGATTGTTTTAAAGCTAATCTTAGAATATTTGAGTTGGTTATTCCTACGTAGATGTGTGAGGAATACAGTCAATTCAGGTAGCTTGACGGGAATCGCAGCGCGTCGTTTGGTGGACGGAACCGGTCGAGAGTTGTTCACGTAAAACTCGAATATCTCGGCAACCAGTGGTCCAAATTTAAAAATCTTTGTACCTATGGAGAGCTGAAGATATAAGTAAGAAGTTCTTTTTTACCGATTTGATTTATCTTTTTTAGTTTCGAAGGTATGAAAGGGGTGAACTTACTTTTTGGATGACCCTCGTAATTTCCCATCACTGTTACTTAAGGCAAAAACGCCATTTTCTCGCGTGTTAAATAATTAAACGCTCTCGAAAATTGGGTGAAATTTCAAAATTTTCCTAACGACCTTTCATTTGTGCCTTAGGCGAAAAAATTTATGAGGTAGACCTCTGTAGATGCATTTTAGTTTCAAAACGAGACCAAGAAAAGGAAAATCGGACACGTAGTTTCTGAGATATAGCGCGCTGAAAAACGCCTGGCGGCCATCTTTAACGGCCGCCATCTTGGTTCCTGCACGGATCCCAGAGTGCTTCCTCTTTTAAAAGAGCTTCTTATGACCATAAGAATGATCCCTGAAAGCGGCAATTTCCGATCAAAAAGTGCAGGGTTTTGGCCATTATTCGATCGTACCTACTGTACTATATCAATCCATCAAACTTTAAACAAGTGTTACTTGACCAAATTCGTATGTAGATTCTGAATATACCATTGATTTGGACCTTAAAATGGTTTAAATGGCCGTAATGGACCACTAGACAAGGTACGACTTTAAGCATTCTGATATATGTTTTTTAACCACAATTTCCTGTAGAACACGACTCTTGCATCAAAAATTATTGAAATCAACTCCTAACTAAGCTATTAACGTTTTAATTTTACATTTGTTACAGGAAATTCGAATTGTCGGGTCACAAGAAAGTCAATTACCCTTCATGAGTCAAATTGCGCCTTATAACGGTTTCGACAGGCTTCTTGATTGAGCACTGTTCCTCTCCAAATCTTTATCGTTCCAAGTGTAAACAATTAATCATAGCTGAGCCAAAGCGTCGAGATTGAGGATACTATATTTTCGTATTGCAGAGACTGCCGCGGTAACGTTTAGTGTGCGATTTGACTCACGCAGACTATTGAGTTTTCATGAGCGGGAGGTTTGAATTCTTGCGTCAAGATACATCTAATATCTTGGTTAGGAGTTAATTTCAGTAATTTTCGTTGTGTGCATTGTGTTCTATGTGAAATTTTGGTTAAATTCATATTTTCATGATAAAATTTTTCTCACAAATTTTGGCAAAACTTTCATGACTGAAGGATTATGAGCCTAATAGACTATCAATGCTGTCTAATTTATCTTTATTTTCATTTTTTTATTTATCCATTTATATTTTTTTTAAAATTTTCCTTCGTTTCGGATTCTCTATGACTCATGGATTTTGAGCTGCTAAATTCGAATGTGACCTCGGTTTCTTTCTATCACACTTCAGATTTCCGGTAAAGCCGAGTTTTCCGAGCCTAAAATTGTGTATTGTAAAAGCTTTGCCGGATCCAAGTGTATTCAAAATTCATTGTATGAATGTCTCCGACATGTGATACATCGGTTCCTTTGTATTTCAATCTGTTGAATTCAAATATGATCTCAGATTTTTCCGATCACCCATCATTTATCCGGAAAAGTCGCTTTTCCTAGGAAAACGCTCTTTTCAGATATTTTTGCGATGATTTTTCTGCTCTAGGGAGTTTCAGAAATTTTACCAAGATCCTCTTTAGGTCTCTCTTGCTGTATTAAGAGGCACTGTACTTGAATTTGACCTTTACTCATCTTTGACAACCCCCCCGTCTTCTAGAAGGTCCGATTTTTCCGGGCCAAAAGCTTTTCCGGACTGTTCCCACTTCCAGGGAAATTCAAAACATTTTCTGCATGTGTGATACATCGATGCTCATGTATTTTGAGCTGAACACCCCGAATATGACCTTAGAATTTCGTTATCACCTACCGGAGAATTTCTGAAACCCCTTAGAGCAGAAAAATCATCGCAAAAATATCTGAAAAGAGCGTTTTCCTAGGAAAAGCGACTTTTCCGGATAAATGATGGGTGATCGGAAAAATCTGAGATCATATTTGAATTCAACAGATTGAAATACAAAGGAACCGATGTATCACATGTCGGAGACATTCATACAATGAATTTTGAATACACTTGGATCCGGCAAAGCTTTTACAATACACAAGTTTAGGCTCGGAAAACTCGGCTTTACCGGAAATCTGAAGTGTGATAGAAAGAAACCGAGGTCACATTCGAATTTAGCAGCTCAAAATCCATGAGTAACATGCTACCACGGGTCCAGGAAAATTTATAAAAATAAATTGCATGCACGACAAATATGCGTCGGATTTGCTCATTTTCTCGGGATAAAGTTGCTTTCCCGGAAAACTGAGAAGTGAACGGGAAAAATTAAGGTCATTTCCGGACTCATCAATTAAAAAGACATCGGCATAATTGAATCTCGTAGCTACGAAAAATTTTACCTACATTATGCAGGGGATAGCAGTCGGAAAAACACTGAAAATGCCCCAAAAGGGTCATTTTTCCGAGTAAAATCGGCTTTTCCGGGAAATTGGAGGGTGATGGGAAAAATCGGAGGTCATAATCGGATTCAGCGCATCAAAATACGTAAGGGTAACTTTCTTTACCCGAAAGGCATACTGAAAAATATGCGTTTTCGATTATTTAGAACCGACCATGCACGAATCATGCAAAAACCGCTAATGTCCAGTTTATTGCTGGTCATTTCGTGATGAAACTTGCTCTAAGTGCCGCAATTGTCAAGAATTTTAGTTTTACAACTTTATTTCAATGATAATCTATCGTTTTAATATCTTTAGAATGAATTTTGAAAGTATCAAACGGTTCCAAAACTCGGAGATTTTCACGAATCATGCTAAAACCGCTAATGTCCAGAGTCTTTTCTTTCCGATAATCCAATATAATTTCCAAATTCCAATAATCCGAGATGGCGACTGTGGCTTTCAATTCTTTCTCGGCTCCTGCTCCTTTTTTTTGAAACTTGGTTGGAAAGAAGATCAAGACGAAGGTGTTGTCTTCCCATTAAAGTAAATAGCCATGAGGGGCAGCTCGCGGTGCGAGTCGCAAGTTCATCGCGTAGAGAGGAACTGGTGGTCCACGGGCGCTCCCCGGCTAGGCGTGACAGCTCCCGTAATCACGGCTAGTTTAATATACTGATAATGACAACGGATAATTTGAAATCATAGGGTGGCTGCCCTTTTGGGCCCTAACTTTATTCATTATGGAATCAATGAATTTTGCTTGATGGATTTTCAGAGTTCCATTTCTGTATATTGTACCCCTTCAAGGGGTGAGGGTTATGGATGAGTCAGTTAGTGAGTGTCAGTGAGTGGCCAATTTATTTCCTTTGTATCATTAGAATTATTTATTCTTAGTTCAAAATCATAATTTTTATCCTTTTCAGACTGTGTTTTCATTCCTATCGGTTGGTTGGGGCCTTATAGCAGATATTGATATTGAGAGTGAACGTTTGCGAGTATTGGGAAGTCCTAGGTTCACCATCTGGAGTTTAGCACGTATAATTGGTATGCTATGTTTGTTTTTCAGACACAAAAAATTTTAATATCGGATTTTACAAATTCCTCCTCAGGTATTTTTGTAACCTGACAGTATTGCCAAAAGTTAATCGGAAGATGAAATCAGTAATTAAAGGACTTTACACATTAATAGTGGATTAATTATGCAAATATTTGGTTTTGTTGTGCAATAAGGGGAAATCGATGTTTGAAATTTCCAATTTCTTTAGACCCCCCCTCCTCCATATATGGTGGCAGCTGAAATTGCCGCCCCAGGGGTGAGAAATGAGCTTGTTCAGTAATTCGTAATTCTTGCATTTTTGGAAACTAGAGAATGCACATAGTTCACAGGAATTTTCCCCGATTTTTTTGAGGAATATTAACGCACGAAATACGAGTCCAAAAGTCCGTATTTTGGGCTCCCATTTAAACGCGCGCCGCTTGGGCCATCTCAAAATGGCGCCCATTCTATCCGTCCGGCGGTGGCCACACTTTTGACCTTCACACTTTTGTGCCGGCGAAATACCTCTGCATGCCTTTGCCGCGTGTGGGTCGTATAAACAAACGAAGATTGATAACACGAAGGATCCAAACAACTCGAAATCTCTTAATTTTAATTAATTTAAATTCATTTTTGACTTCAACCAAGCATTTGGCAATAATATTCATCGTATTTTACAACCTGGAGCCACGGCCTACCAGCTTATTTTAAGGTGCATTCTGAAAATCAGTTTTTCAAGTCCAATGTCCAAACCCAGACTTTCTTCTTTTACTTTTTTTTGACCATTCTCTTTTCATTTTCGCCTCAAATCAAATGTTTTGCAGTTTCTTTATCTTAAGTATGTGGTCCTGAATTCATTCAAGAGTTAGAAGTTCACCATTTATCTAGTATTATAGCCTCTTGACCTCTCAAGCTTCACCGATATGATCTCATGTTGTTCAAGGTTACTTCGGCCCAAACCAAGTGATTACACATCTGACGTGTGTCTTATGGCTCTTCAAATTCGCAGTTTAGAACTAACACTGCGAGGAGATATTAACAGAATATTTTTACACCAAATTATTTACGCAACTAGGTGAATTTCTTGGGTAAATTATTGCGCTTTAGAGAAAGTCCTGACTGTAGAAAACAAGAAATAATACCTGTACCGATAGCATAACTGTGTATATGCACAACAGTGGTCACTTACAAAGAACAGACACGAACAAACACTTATGACAAACATTGAACAAGAGAGCAGAACTGGATTAAGTAACTGTAGTCTCTGATTTAGTTCTAAACTGCGAATTTGAAGAGCCATAAGACACACATCAGATGTGTAATCACTTGGTTTGGGCCGAAGTAACCTTGAACTACAGGGTCATTCCATTGTAACGGGTGTGACAACAATTTAACTTTAAACAAGAATTTGAACTCTTTCTTGGGGTTTAATTAAAAAATTATCTGCAGCAGCAGAAAGAACTTTTTTTATAGATCATTTCAGTTTATCAGAAATTGTTTTTACTTTGTTCCATTCCTCAGAAAAAATTAAAAGGCATGCGTAACGGGTGTGACTGATTTTGGAAGTGAGTTTTTCCTCAGTGAGTGTACAGTGGAAACTCAGCGAATTTTATGAATGTAAAAATCTGATTAAATTATATGATGAAGCCAAGGGTTTTTGCTTCAACTGCCGATGATCCGTTTTCGATTATCTGTTTTTCTTTCCTTGAAAAATGGGAAAGTTTGCGTAACGGGTGTGACGTAACGGGTGTGACAGATTGTCTCTCTGAGGTCCATCATTTCTGATAGAGTTTAAAAGTTAAAAAACTTGCTTTTCTTCTCATACTCTTATTGTATGCAATCCTAATCAGTAAATCAATCAACAGTTTGACGCATTTTAATGTAGAACATGCCAAAACTACATTTTTCTACAAGGTGGCCCAGACCTACCGTTTGCGTCACGGGTGTGACGTAACGGGTGTGACAAATTGTCTCTCTGAGGTCCATCATTTTTGAGAGAGTTTAAAAGTTAAAAAACTTACTTTTCTTCTCATACTCTTATTGTAGGCAATCCTGAGCAGTAAATCAATCTGCAATATGACGCATTTTAATGTAGAACATGCCAAAACTACAATATTCTACAGGGTGGCCCAGACTTACCGTCCCAGGGCTTTTCTTCGGGTAACCCAGGATTCCCCTTTCGTCCCCGCGGTCCCACCATCGGCATCGGCACCTCGCATGGCCCAAATTAACCACAAAAAAAACCCTGGCACGGTAGGTCTGGGCCTGTAGTAAAGTGAAAATATTTCAATCAAATCGGAGAGAGTTCAACGAGTTCTATTTGAAGTCCTTTTGAGATAAGGTGTATTCACTTTAAATACTGAAATATGGCAAAAAAAATGGCTATCTCTCTCTTATTAGATGTATATATAACCTCTAATTATGCATATGAGTGTATTTCTTGTGATAACCGTAGAAAAAATGGTGAGAAGTGAGGCAACATCAGCATAATTGAAGCCTCTTCTCATTGGTCACACCCGTAACGTGTCACACCCGTTACGCATTTTTGCCCATCAATTGTTGAGATAAAAATTCGGAAAAAATACTCCAAAGCTGTACTTGACTTGAAGACGTACGGAAAAAATTGGCATCTCAAAATGACATAAATTAAAATAGTTACATTAAAAAACCCATGTTTTGCGTAACGGGTGTGACAGTCAGTACACTAAGTTTTAAAAGTTACTTATAATATACAGTAATTACTTTTAAAAATTGAAACTTTGCAGGAGCACATTGAATCAGTTTCTTGACAACTCCCAGCATAACCTGAAACTTGGTTTTGGTGGGAACACCAGAAAACATTGCTACCAAACTGTCACTCTTTTTACAGTAGGATAAAGCTAAGCAACGGGGTTACAAAACACGTAAAAATTGCGAGAAAAAAAACAAAACGGAGGTAAACCACATATATTTCCAAAAACTAGGAGTATTAAGGAGTCCAAAAATAAATATCGTTGGGTCATTTGGAGGGGGAAAAAAAAATACCCCCCGGACTACCTAGGCGTGGAATGACCCTACATGAGATCATATCGGTGAAGCTTGAGAGGTCAAGAGGCTATAATACTAGATAAATGGTGAACTTCTAACTCTTGAATGAATTCAGGACCACATACTTAAGATAAAGAAACTGCAAAACATTTGATTTGAGGCGAAAATGAAAAGAGAATGGTCAAAAAAAAGTAAAAGAAGAAAGTCTGGGTTTGGACATTGGACTTGAAAAACTGATTTTCAGAATGCACCTTAAAATGAGCTGGTAGGCCGTGGCTCCAGGTTGTAAAATACGATGAATATTATTGCCAAATGCTTGGTTGAAGTCAAAAATGAATTTAAATTAATTAAAATTAAGAGATTTCGAGTTGTTTGGATCCTTCGTGTTATCAATCTTCGTTTGTTTATACGACCCACACGCGGCAAAGGCATGCAGAGGTATTTCGCCGGCACAAAAGTGTGAAGGTCAAAAGTGTGGCCACCGCCGGACGGATAGAATGGGCGCCATTTTGAGATGGCCCAAGCGGCGCGCGTTTAAATGGGAGCCCAAAATACGGACTTTTGGACTCGTATTTCGTGCGTTAATATTCCTCAAAAAAATCGGGGAAAATTCCTGTGAACTATGTGCATTCTCTAGTTTCCAAAAATGCAAGAATTACGAATTACTGAACAAGCTCATTCATTACCATGAAACAACCTCCAGTGAGGTACTTATGTTTTTTTTAAAGTTACAGAATTCGAATTCTATGTAAAACATCAAAAAAGGATGTCCCAAATCCAAGATGGTAGTCTCAAAACATGCTCAGGTACTTCACTCCTTCTGAATTCCCACTGGTGATGCAAGAGGGGTCGCACAATCCAGGAATGAGGTTTTCTGTCTCATACAAGGCCCCCCGTCTTCAACTATTGACGTTTTGACTAATTCATGGAAAAGAAACTTATCCTTAAAACAATACTTCGACGTGTGAGCTACTAGCTAAAGCGTTTTGTTATTAACGAGGCTATTTTTGAATTTGAAACACATTTTTCAGGATTAAAACAAAAATGTGTATAATTAATTTTCCTTTTTTTAGGTTTACGTAAAAATGAAGGAAGACTCTCCTTTTTGAGGATCTCAGATGAAAAATTACAAGGGAAAGTGCATAGAGAAAATTTAACAGCAACTTTGACCAGAAGTTTCAGTGACTGTCTAACAGACTTCAGTTCTCCTCTCTCCTCGTACCGTAGTTTGAATCAACTTGATTCTTTGAACTTGGAAACAAAAGAGGTAGGTGAATAGTGTTTGAACTCTGTTTGTACATGTAACGTTAGCCCATAAGTCTACACAAACCCCACTTTTTTCACTACACCCTTCAACCAGGGACCAGTTCTATAGGACCCTGGACTCCCGTAAGAGTCAATGTAAAAATTCGTGAGCAGGTACTATTGCTGCTATCTCGCGTAGGATCCTCGCAACTCACTGCTGTTATCAGTTGTTGGACTTCATTAAAATCCGTAGGATCGCGTATAACTGCAAAAAATCGAATTTTTCACCGTACTATAACATGCAGCAGGCCCTTCCTTGCCGAAAGGGGTCGAAAAATGCCAAAAAAATACTTATTTTTCAAGAATTCAGCCGCCTTAAGTGTTATTTTTCAATCTCCGGCTTAACCTCATTTTTGGAGTGGGCGATGGATGAGTCGAGGTTCGGGGGGAAGGATCCTCTGAGTTGACTAGGATCCTATGCGAGAATGCGCTGCAATCACCTGCTCACGACAGAACGGCGTCCAATAGAACTCGTCCCTGCTTCAACTAATTTTGGGGGTGCAAGGAGTTGTTAAATTGGAATCCTAGTATTTTGATATCATCAAAATGGAGAAAAAATGTCAACTCCCTTTTTCTTTTAAAATCTTCTCAAAACGATATGTTTCAGGTGCTTGCCAATAAATTTTAGTGTCTGATACATTCCAACCTGCAGCAATGCAAATTTTCCTTCTTTTTTATCAAAAGAACCCTGCACAGAGCATGGGGGTCAGTGGCTCTCTCTAGAAGTCGATGAAACTTTAATAGATTGATATAAAGTTCATAATTAAGGGTCAGCCAAAAAAATTAGCTCACCTTTGCGAGTAGAAGCCGAGATATTCGCGGTTGAACCCGGACTTTTTTCTGTGCGGCGAAGGTAAATGGGCGCTCCGCGTCGCCTTACGGCCTTACCTTGCTTGACCACTTCGGCCAGGAAACCCCCTCTCCCACCATGTAACTACAATGTTGCATTGTTTACACTCACTCCTTTCATTAGGACGCTCCGTTCGGGCTGTGAGATATGGAGTTCTCTGCTTCTCGCACCTCTCACGTATACTCTTTTTGAATCCCGTGCGTTCGCTGCCGGCCGGCTGAATCTGAAATGTAGTTGCTGAAACAGAAAGGACAGGTGCGGGGGGAGGGAGGGAGTACGGCATTCGCACCGGCCGAGCGCATAAGCACCTACCTACGGGTGAGGTCTGATCGAGAACTCCGAACAATGAGAGGAGAGGGGACTCGGAATTCTTCTGCCATGCTGCGGCATGATAGAAAATAGTCCGGATTCAATTGCGAATATCTCGGCTTCTACTCGCCAAAGTGAGCTGATTTTTTGGCTTTCCCTTAATTATGAACTTTATATCAATATATTAAAGTTTCTTCGACTTCTAGAGAGAGCCACTGACCCCCGCTTTGTGCAGGGTTCTTTGTTTACAAATTGTGGAAAAAACGTTACTAACTCGTTAAATTTTTTGCCCTGTTTCCATCTTATATTTGTGCATTGCACATCCTAGGAAAACTATCAGATTGCAAGTTCTAGGGCTGGTTTGGAGAAACCAAGAGCACCTAAATATATTTAGGATGTGATGTGTGTGTGACAAAAGAGAGACTAAATGGCACCATGATTTTTAAAGGGAACAGGACTACCAACAATAATAGAAACTGGAATGCTATTCCATATGTGAAAGAAGTCTCTGAAAAAGCAAAGGATTATTTTGGAGAGAGAAAACAGTAATGCCCTTGCACTCCAATGAAATGAATTTAGGAAGACATTTAATCAACACAAAGAGGAACGTGGGACTTAAAAATAGTGGAATGGGGTTGTTGCATGGGTGAGGGATTTAAGAATAAAAAATATGTAGTCTTAGAACTTTGCGCGATTAAAACGATAGTATCGTTCAAAAAGTCAAAAATCGAGTCCTAAAGCCGGAAAAAGTCCATCAAACTTCCATCAAATTCACGTTGAAATTGAACGATTTTCATTGGCTGCTGTACAGGCAGCGGTCGAGAGGGAATTGAAATTAATTTGATTGCCCTCCGAGTTCGCAAACAACCAAGCGCCGCTTTTCGATCGACATATTCGATCAAGAAGCCTGAGCAGGTAAAAGAATCCCGAACTCGGAGGTGAATGCTCGGCTATTGTTTTCGTTCGAGGAACGAGTTGCAGGAGGGCGGGCCAACTGGTTCGTTCACGAGATGGGATATAATTCCTGGCCCGATTTCCATCCCCTTGTAAGACAGGAGGGAATTAAAACCCGATCTCGATTGCCCTCCTCAAAAGACGCTCACGGGGCTTCCAATCGAATCGATCTGGATCGACTGCACTTGTGCCCGCAAAGGCTCTGGACTTCACCCCCCGGATTCTTTCCTCTACTGCTATTCCGCACACACTAGACCGCGACAGCCACTCACTCCTCTTTCACTTTGGCATTGTGGTCATGTGTTTTTCTCCTTTTACTTTTGTCCTCTACCCTAGCTATTTTTCTCCTGTCCTATTTCGTACGTCAACTGTGGGCTCATTGCTTTCTGACTTCTGTATGTCTAAACATCTATTCGTTTTAACTGATCCAGTTATTGACCACTAGACAAGCCACAAATTGAAGGGAGAGGCTAGTTTAAATCTCTCCCCCCCCCCCCCGCCACCATGTACATGTATTGTCCATTTTTGTTCTACTTTTGTCAGGGTGCTTTAGAGTAGGCTTTCTGCACATTTTCAGCTCATTTGAAAAATTTCGGCATAATAGAGCAGGAAATTGACTTAAGATTTTTTTTTTTTCTTTCTTTTTTAACAACTAAAGCTTTTGTCCTCTTAGATTTATAGAGCTATTTTATTTAAAGCAATATGAACACCTCTGAATATCTGTTTTTTTATACCTCAATATTCTCTCAGGCTCTCTCAGACTTGCATCATTTATGTTAAATCACCTAATACAAGTACAGACAAACTAATGCCACAAGTTGTAGATTATCAAGTTCTGATTATTCTTTTAAAAAAGAAAATTAACTTTCTACCTGCCATAGAACTGAGGTTACACTGGTTCCAAGATCAATAAACTCATAAAAAATGAAGTTTTCAGTTGCGACCGACAAAGAAAATTCATGTTGATTAATTTTGATAAGCAAGCAACTTTGAAAAAGTATTGAAAAAACTTCAGGAGCTCTTAAAAAATGAAAAGGTACATTGTTCATTTTAGCAGAATCCAAATAATATGAATATATAATTTGAAAATAAAAATGAGAAAAATGAGTTTTGAAACTAGACTCTCATCTTAAGCACTGTGATATAGGTTTCCCCTTCAAAGTTACAGCAGGTACAACACGATTTGTGCTATGAAAATCACTGAAGTTCTTTTTGAATCAAGGTATTAATGTTTTTATTTAGGATTGATCACGAACAAGTTTGAATATCACGCTCATAGGAATTGAACGAGAAGCTATTTGAATCAAAATCCCCATAGGCTTCTCAATGAGCAATGTTCCTTCCCTACCCAAGATTTATTCAAAGTGTAAAGTACAATACCTGAGCTGAAGCGTAGTTATTAAGGTTGTCATTATTTCTTACTGCAATGACTGTATTGGTAACGTTTTGCGTGCAAATTAACTACGAGTAGATCATCGTGTTTTCAATGAGCGGAAAGTTTGCATTTACGCATCAAAGAACTTTAATGCCTTGGTCAGGACTCACTGTCAGTAATTTCCGTCGCACAAATTGTGGCATACGTGAAATTTTGAAGAGAAAAACGCATCCCTCTTGGAATGCTAAACTTCGCACCTTATGTAATAGCTCATTCTGCCGTGCTACAGAGGAATGCCGTATGAACCAGCAGACATTACAAAATTTCCTTTGATGACTCACGGATTATCGTGAAAATTCAACTGTATCTTTCTACCGATTTTTTAGAGAACTTTATGAGCAATTTGATTTAAAGTTTCGAATAATTTTAAAGGTATAGTAGGGCCCACGAAAGATGATCCCTGAAAAATCGGGCGAATAAACGCATGGACCATTTACATGTCAACGCTGCGAGGTCAAGCACGCATATCGACGAAACTGGGTATTGTGAACGCGAATAGGTATTGTACAGGGTGATCCAGTCCATCCGTCCACTATCTTTTTCTCGAAAACGACGGAGAATGGAGCTTCGGGACAAAGACTTTCAGGGGAAAATCAACCCCTAAGAATCGAATGAAAATGTTTTCAGCCCCCCAAAATGGACCCTTTGGGGGGAAGCCCCCCCGTTTCTCGCGATTTTCAGATAGGATGAGTATGTTTTGACTTTTGGTTTGGAATCTATGGCAAAAAATAAGAACATTTTTTTCGTTGTGTTTTTCCCCTAAACCCCCATTTTTTGGAGTTATGGGGCACTTTTGGGGCAATTTTCAAATTGATGCTGTAAGCGGCAAAATTATCCAAATTTCAAAATCTAAAAATCTCTTGAGAGAAGTCAATACCTTTTTATTGATGTGCCATATGATTCCTGTTGCTCCAAAATTTTGGGGCTTTGGAGGGCCGTAAGTGGAAAATTTCAAATGGCAAGGATATGTTTTGACTTCAGGATTCTACGCGAAAAGTTACGTAGAATTGATATGGCGCATGACCTGTTTGCTCCAAATTACTGAAGAACCCCATTTCCCCATAAGAACCCGTGTATTTTTGGAGAAAATAAGGGGCAAAAAAAATTTGTGCAAACAGGCCATGCGCCATATCAATTCTACGTAATTTTCGCGAAGAATCCAAATCTGAAGTTTAAACATACCCTTGCCATTTGAAATTTTCCACTTACGGCCCTCCAAAGCCCCAAAATTTTTGGAGGGGGCGTGGCTCCCAAAATTATGGAGCAACAGGGGTCATATGCTACATCAATAAAAAGGTATTGACTTCTCCTCTCAGGAGATTTTTAGATTTTGAAATTTGGATAATTTGGCCGCTTACAGCATCGATTTGAAAATTGCCCCATAACTCCAAACAATTGGCCTCCGGCCAATTTA